CTTAAGTGTGCTTTTGACTATACATACTGAGGTGACTTTTACACTACAGAATGGTGTGATTTTCAAAGAAGGGAAGACAGGACATACCATTCAAGGTTCCTGGTAAGCACCACTTGGATTTTACTTACCATGAGGGCCATAATCTGTCATGTATAATTAAGTCATAGACACATAACACTGAATTTGTGAACTCCACTATTTGTCATATGTCAGTGTGGGAAACATGTTTTTCATTTATTGTGATCAATCTAATTTGATTGAAAAGAAAGCAAAATCAGTTGCTTACAAATACTCGGGTCACGTGTCAGGCTGTGGTCCTTCAATAAAAATGCAATAAAAGAAATTGTGCACTTTTTTTCCTTGAGCCACAACTGGAAGTAAAATGATAAAATGGTGGTTTAATCACCAAACAAACCCAGACAATCCTGTTTTGTTCACATTTGCCTTCGTGTACATGACAACTTTGAAGCTTGTAAATAAGCTTTTAAATTATGGGTAGATTTTCAGGCTAGGGACACTCACTTTCATAAAGACATGCAAGAAGCAAATCTGATCAGACCAAACAAACAAACAATCAAATGAAGAAGAATTTGATCATTATTAAATTTAGAAATGCTCAGTCAGAGTGTTAGCCAAAGATAGCCAAACCATAGTGGTTGGGAACCTGAAGTCATTTCATGGACATAATTTAAAGACAGACTTTTTATTGCAAGCTTACATGATGCAAGGTTTTCCAATATTTTTTAAAATTTTTCAGTGCAAAACCCTCTATGGCCAAAGTTTCAGAAGAAGGCCCCTTCCAGACTTCAGGTGTGGTATAACATCAAAGAAATGGTCATAAATCAGTCTGTGAGGAAAATTATTATTTTCCCCATAACAGTGGGACTTGTTGCTTCATGATTGCCCTTATTCACTTCCATCTTTTGTTATCTTCCCTCTCAACCCTTTATATGCTTTTCACATGGCCTTCTTGAAATTTTACTTAAGTTGCTCATTTTTGATATTGATGAATGACACATTCAAAAACTATCATGTAAAACACTGTATTAAAGTTTATGCCACTACTGCAATTACTTCCTTGATTCCTCAGCAGAGGAGTCCAATGAAGTGGTGACATCCTCTCCAGCTAAACCCTCCACCAGTGAAGAAGAATTGGCCGAAGAAACTGAGAAAGGGAAAAGTTTACAAAAGCAGAGAGTTTGCTATAAGGTATGATTTTAATTTAGCTAGTTCCTCTGATCAGAACAGGAAATGTTACTATTTCGTATGGTGTTATTCCATTTAAGGGAGAATTTTAAGCAGGTAATTTTAACAAAGAACTTTTTCTGCCATATTGCAAAAGCCCTGATGAGTCCCCAGGGTCAACTTGATTTTTTTTTCAAATTTGTAGGGGCTAATGTTACTTAGCCTATACAAGTAATAATGACAATCTTGATATTGAGATTACATCAAATAGTGGTTTTAAGTGAGGCCTCAACATAAATGTTATATGAATGTTTGCAGTACATAACAGGCAAGGTAGATGGAATAATGGGAATGTAGAAGAACCAGGTTGAACTAGTCTCAGTCAACTTATTACCACTAAAGAAGGACTTTTCCTTTGACTCTGCTGCTGAATCACATCCAATTTGTCAAACTATCAACCACATTTACTGACAACAGTCTTTTCCGGAATGAAACCTTCTTAGTAATGCCAAATTAATAATTGACAATATTTTATGTATTCTGTTATTGTCCCATTTTAGCAGAGGAAAAGTTGGTTTTATAATTTTAATGTTGGGATTATCTTTGTGTACAGGAATTAAGTATTGGTAGCCTTTTTTCCTTTCTTTGGAACACCTTTCAAAATGCAATGTACATTTACATTTTTGAACCTATCAACTCCTATTTTTTTCCCCAAAGACTGCATTCTGGAAGAAATAAACACAACATAGTAAATTTATCTGCTTGATCCTTTTGTATTTTAAGCCCAATGGTAACCCAACTATCTGTTGGTTTGTGGATGTGCCAGAAGATCTTTCACTCTCTAAGTTTGAGTTTACAAGACTTTGTGATAGGAGTCATTATCAAAAGGGTAATAGCTCAAGTTGGTGCAACTACAGATTTTTACTTTTGAGGGTTGAATGTGTTTTTTTTCCCAGACTCCATCAAGGGAAGGAGGAGGAGAGAGAGGATATGATGGTGGTAGAGTAGATGACAACACGTTTGGAGTCATGGAAGGGGATGAAGGTGACCCTGGTGGTGGTGGTGGTGGTGGTGGTGGTGATGATGGTAGTAGTGAAGGAGGTTTACGACTTCTACCTCCCCCTTACTTCCAGCTGTTTTTGTGCTGTATGTATCCACTACTTTTGCCTCCTCGACCACCATCACCTGATGACGGATATGAAGAGGGGGATTTTGAAGAGGAAGACTTTGCTGATGATCAAGGTGGAAACAAGAATTCAGTAACTTTTTCAGTTTTTTTTAGCACTAAATTTACTTAAGATTACAGGCACGTTGCTAGCTGTAATGACTCTTTCTAGCTGCTAGTTTGAATCGGTACTGGTGTACTGTTCGAGTGAACAATACTACACATCTTAAAGGCGATACAAATTCTGGCTGGAAATTTAACTTAATTCGCTGACTATAATGGGGCCTTGCTACTTTTTGTAAACCCCAGATGTGCAAATGGTCTTTGAAATTTGATCCATAAGTATACTCGGATTTTTTTTTTTTGCAAAAAAACTTTGGTGATGATCAAGGTGGAAACGAGAATTCAGTAACTTTTTTCAGTTTTTTTAGTACAAAAAATTAAAGGCACTTTGCTAGTTGCAATGACTCTTTTCAGCTGTTAGTTTGAATCGGTACTGGTGTATTGTTGATAGGTGTAGTACCTATGTTGAAGAATGAAGCTTCCTTACTTTTCATACCTAGAGTCAATTCCCAGCAATGACTGCCTTGTAGTATAGTAGCATCCTGTATAGGAGTGGGTTAGAAACGCCCCTGCTTGGGGAAGTTTCTACGTTCTGGGCTAATTGTGTGCTTTTGTGGACTTCGTCAAACCCCTATTTGTCCCTATCGTTTAGCCTCAATTACCAACCCTGTTCATGAAGTGAGTCCGCGGAACACCATGGAATCGGGAGTTCTGTAGACCGGTTTGGAGATGACGGTGGTAATCGAGAACACGTGCACTTTGAACTATAATTAAAATGTTAAACGTGTTTCGAAAAAGGTTGAATTAATGTACCCTCTGTTTAATCCTAACCTTCCCTTTGTTCCTGTCAGATTATGAAGAAGACGATCATTTGCAGAGAAACAGAGGGTGATGCATTGATCCACCACGCTTCATGGTCATTGTTAGATTTCACCTCTATGTTAGCCAGTTTTTATTTAAGTAGTTTCCGTTTAACTTGTAAGATACTTTTTTCCGATCCTTTGTGTCCTTATTCAAATATTGTGATTTGTGTAACAATAGCACCTCACACCATTTAGTTCATAAGAAAGTACCCTGTACAGCTTTTACGATTACTAATTGAGCTTTCACTCTGGCATGATGTATGTTAGAGTGCTCTACAAATAAAGTCTGCTCTGGAACCAAAACGCTGTCTCATTCTTGACGTCCGTATAAGCTCGCTCGAAGTAGATCTCCGTGTATCAGGAAATCGTGACGAGTTCCCGTCCTCGCAAGCCGAGTGGTCTCCACCGAGTTAATCCATCCCTCCCCCCGTTTTGTACGTTTCCCGCGAAGTCCTGTTTAGTGCGCGAAAACCTTATCGTCACACTTGTCACGTCTGCATTGATTTAATGAAATAATAATGTACCATTTGCTTGTAAATGTGAGAACATCACAGGAACGTTTACAGGCTTCTCAAAACATAACGACGTTCAGCCCCAGCTCCAAACTTAGACTAGTGTGTGAGCAGGCCCTCGTTACGAGCCCTTCATTACGAGCGTTTCTTCGTCCACGAATAAGTAGTTTTAGGCCTTGAGTAACACTAAGTCAAGAGAGGTTTGCAGGGGGTCCTGCGCGTGGGAATTTCTCATGGCGTGAAAAGGAAAAAAGAAAGTTAGCAGAAGGTAGCCGTCAAGAAGAGTTTGAATAATTTTTTCTCGACCAGGTGTCCAAAACAAATCGTCAACTCTCTAGCGTTTAAATTGCCCTTCCAGAAAGGGAAGTATAATTCAGACGGATCTCTGGATTGTCATGGTTCACCATTATTCGCATGGGAGCAGTTGCGAGACAAAGAAGAGGCTATTTTTTGGTTTTTGTGGCGAGAAACAATTCTGAGAAGGTCGTTATCTAAAAGCTCTTAGATGAGGACGAGAAGGAAAAGCGTCTTTTTCTCAAAAAGCGAAAATACTCTCTGGGATTAAAAGTGAACATATTGTTGAGTTTAAAGCTGTGTGCATGGAACCGCCCTGTGTTTTAGGATTTGGGGTCATTTCCGCCGTTCCGTTGTTCCGGCTTTTAGGGTCGCCCGTCCCCACCTTCGATAGAATTGTCTTAGCCAGCCGTATTGTGATTATCAGTTCGAAGTTCAATCCCCTTTTTTGCCCAAAAATGACGTAAAAGTTTTTCAATTGTATTTGTAGTTTAGAACTTGTAAGAGTTCAGTGTTGGGTCTTACGTAGCCGATGTAGCACAATTATAAATCAGTAATAAAGTCTTGAGCCCTACTTAAAAACCTGTCCTAAAACAGTTTCAGGTGTGAATTAATTCCACTTTGGATAATTTCGATGGATTTTGTGATACGATTGTTGAAAGGTGAGCCACTACTATACAAACAATATTCCTTTCAGAACCACTCTCCCTTGGACGTACTATTTCCAAAACGAGAGCGAGTGTTTCATCGGGGTATCCAAACACCGAGAAACAAATAAAAGTACGATGTGTTTGGATACCCCGATGAAACACGAAGCACGAATTTTGGAAATAACTTCTCATGATCACTTTTAAAGAAACAATAAACAAAGACTTCCAAAGACTTTATGGTGCGATTTTTTCAGTCAGGATGTATACTGCAACCAAGTCGCTCGGGAGATTTCGGCAGCCGAAAAGTGTGGAAGATGAGAAGAAAAGTGTTGATAATGCAATACCGAAATCAACAGCCTATAAAACCAAATGGTCGTGTAAGGTTTTCGAAGAATGGAAACAGAATCGATTAGTGAAGTCCTGTACTTTGGAACCCGGCGGCCTTTTTACCACGAAATACTTTGAGGAAGGAGTACAAACTTTGGACACGGCCATTACAGATATGTCTGCATGCAGTGTGAACTACTGGCTGTCGAAGTTCGTTCAAGAAGTAAGCAACTCTCGAATATGTCAAGTTTAGTGATTCTGAGGTAAATGTTTTTGTAAATGGGCTTAAATAAGAAAATGAAGAATTGTAAAAGTAAGGTTACTTGTGAGTAATAAATATTCATTGATTTTGTGCAAGTTGTCATTGTGCCTATTTTAGTGGTATAGACCACTCTCACTGAAAAAATTTTGCAAGGTAGTCATCCACCACTTCTTCCCGCATATATGATGTTACAATGCTGGAAAAATCTCTTAGAGCTTGGCAGAAACTCGTGCAAATACTGCTTTCCTCTGATCATGCTTTTTTTATTTGTTGTTCTTTCTTACAGCTCAGTATGTAGACGACCTCCCTGCTGGAGCTTTGTGCTAGTCCGTAGGGTTTCAAGACTTTGCAGTCAAACCACTCAGCTATGCCTCGATCTATAGGGTTAGAGACAATGAACAATTGTGGCCGATTTGTCAAACAAAAGTGCTTATATCATCAATTATTTTACTGCCTGGACTTTAAACTTTGTGCTTGAAGAATTTTGACCTAGTTACTCTTTGGATTGGATTGCTTAGATAGCTGTGCTTGCTCTCCTGTAACAGATTTCGAAACCTCTAGGAGCTAGTAAATGCGTAATTAAATTAGCAATTAAATCTCAGGATCGATCTATCAACCAATCAATGGATTTTATTTTAAGAGAGGAGCACGTGACAGTAGAGGAACTAATGACCCCGTGGCCTTCTGTAAGATAAAGCTTAAGATATAAAAATAAAGTAAGCGATGATCTATACTACAAATGTTGCATACTGCAAAAAGAAATTAAAAACTTAGTATAGGTCATACATCTCTATAGATATATTTACATACAGTACTATTTAGTGTTATTCTAGAGAGTAAATCAGTGAATTGAACAGAGAGACTAAGATGGCGGCCTAAGTTGTTATTTTCTTTCTGTCAGAGAGTTTATCAATTGCTTTTTGAAACTTTTTGTGTCCTTAGAGATTTTGAGCTCTTTATTTTGGTTATTCCAGTCTTTAATTAATCTAGAACCGAGAGAGTGATCGACCCCCTACAGTAGAATTGTTATATATGGGGCAGCGTAGGTTTTATTGCCGAAGTGTGTATTTCTAGAGTAGATATCAGAATTCAGCTGAAGTATAGATTTCAGGTGTTTTTCTGAGTGTTCTTTCGATAATCATTGTGCATCTGTTGACGTATGCGTCTTGATAGAAGGGATCTTAATAAGAAGTCTATTTCATGTATTATTTAACTCCCCCCCCCCCTTGAATCAATCGAGGGAACTAAAGGTGCCCGCCAGAACTTGTCATGCTTATCTATGTTATCCAAAAGTCGTACTCAAAAATCTATCCTTAAACAGTGTAAATTAATCCCACTTAAATTTCGATGGAATTTGTGTTAAAGTTTTCGAAACGTGAGTCACTACTACAGACAACAGTCGTCAGGGCTTCTCTCACTTGGACGATCAGAATATGAAAGGAATCTTGCCTTCTTAGGTTTAAATCGCAAGATTAAATACTACAAAAAACTGAAGGCGAATAGATTTGTCTCAGCTTTCACTGTTGAATTAGACAGCGTGATGATAGGGGACACTAACACTTGCACATCCTTTATGATCAAAGTGAAACCTTTTGTCTCTCAATACTTCCTACCTGTGCTGAAGTGAGCTCTTCAGGAATCTATCAATGTCGTTCCTCGATGTAAGAGGAGAACTTTTTGGGAGTAAGGTGAACAAACAGACCAAGTTGTTATGTGGCAATATTATACATACTTCTTCACACAAATATCATCGTTAGACCGAAACACACGAAAATATTTTACATAAAAGATACTCTGATTACAAGTTTGTTTAGTTTTGCATAAAAAAACCTTCTGAAATGACCCTCAACGACGCAAGAAAAATTAACCAATCGGCGGGAAGAGCATTCAGTCATGTGGATTCGCCCCCCCTCAAAAAAACAGAAACGGAAGGCGTAGTTCAAAAGTGCTCTCTACTCACTTGACAGAATAAAGTTTGAATTAAAACAGAGATTCAAAAATTGACATCACCATGTGGAAGAGAACTGAAGACAAAAGGTGCGTGTATTAATGTTCCAAAACCGTTTTACTTTGTAAAAAGCAACAATCATGAGCGCGTGTTACAATGTTACAGGGAAAGTGCACATTACAAGGTTTCGTTTTATACTGTAAAAGGCATTTGTCCCTGGCTTGTTTATGTGTTTATAATTACTGGAGAATATTTAAAGAGTTAACAAGCTCTTCTGTACGATAATTCGTTTAGATTTTTGTTGTTGTTGTTGTTGCTGTTGTTGTTCGTTGACCTTGCCAGAAAACGGTAAAAACTGGTTGGCTTACTTGTTTGTGAGTGTTTAAATAAAACAATGTGCCACCGGAGCTGTAAACAGTATTCTCAAAGGAAAAACCTTGCAAGAATTGCTTTCGGTGATTCTAATTGTGGAAAAATAAAAAATACCTGTAATTAGGGGGGCCGGGGGTAGTTTATGTGAATGGCTTTTCAGCGAAGCCTTCATTTCGTGTGAATTGCCGAAAACTCATTGAATTATTTTGTCAGGATACTTACGGTCGTTACAAACAAAATCTTTTCGTTTTCTCAATTTTAACAGGAAAATATTAGCAACAAAAATGAAGTGAGGTAAGGCTTGTTGTGAGTCATATCCTTGTTTCTTTTCCTAAAGCTGAGTCCACAATTTTTGAAGTACTGCTGTCAATAAACCTTTATATTTTCAAATGCTACCAATATAAATCAGCAGAGATCAAAACTATTAGTTTTTTGGTGGAGTTTGCATCGGACTAGTTGAGAGAAAAAAATATAAAGCGCATTTTTGATGTGTGTGGTGGAAGAAAAAAAACTATTTCCGTCAAAATGTTTGTTGGTCAAATCGTTGAATTAGATAATTGAAGAGATAACTCTGAGCAAGAGAAAAAGATGTCCTGAATATCCAGACAAGCAATCTTCTGGAATTGTCTGATAAATAATTCTTAACAACCCCCCTGACAGTACAGGTCATAACATGCGTGTTCAACACCCTCGCACATGTCAAAATTATGTAATTTAAAGACTAAGATAAAGGAAGGTACTTCGTGGTGAAGACTGTCTATTTTTTCTTCACCATTTTCTTGTCAGTTTTTGTGTGTCACCATCGCACAAACTTCTTTACGGAACATTATCAAAAAACCGAAACACAAAAAAATTTTGCTTAAAACAAACAATATAAGTTTTGAATGCACTAGAAATTTAGTTTTGCATCACAAAAGAAAACCCCTGAAATGATTGTTAATGACCCAAGAAATGAAACAAGCCAATCGTCGGGAAGAGCATTCAGTCACGTGGATTCGCTAGAAAAACAAGTCAGGTACGGCGCGCAGTTTAAAACTTTCAAGGTTTGCAATCACTTGACAGACGACATTCTTTGGCAGCACTTTTGGGCAATTCATATAACACAAAACAAAAAATGAGAAATTTCCCATCGCCTCAAAGAAGAAAACTGAGGGAAACAGGTTTGTGTATCAATTTCACAACACAGTTTTACTTCGTGAAAAGCAACACTCATTCGGCCACGTGTCACAACTCAAGTGCGCACTGCATGGCTTCGGTTCAAACTTCGCTTGTTTAAGTGTTTGCTGGGGAATATTTTGAGGGGAAAACAGCTTTTCTGTACTATAATACGTGTAGCTTCTATTTTCTTCTAGTTTTGTTGTGCACAGACCTTGCCACAAAAAAGTAAACACAGCATTGGTTGGCGTGCTTCTTTGTGAATGTTAAAAGGGAAACTATACACCACCGGCAATTGAAACAAGTATTCACAGAAGAAAACCTCTATTTTCAAGAATCGCTTTCAGTAACACCTATCTTGTAGAACAATGAAACGAAATTATACGACCTATATGATAATGAAATATATACATGTATTAACACATAATCAGGGAGACCTTCTTTCAAGATCCGAGATGTACCTGAAAGGTCCCGGAAATATATTTTCCCGAGGATGGTGACGGTTCCTTGTTGTTTTATAAACAAACTAAACTTTTACTTTGAAGGTTAAGAACAAATTGGTTCCTGAATTACTTTCATGAGTTCAGACTTAATGAAGAGATATCTTTTCTTTGTGTGCGTTTTTTAGCTAATTATAACATACAATTACTCTCAAATGATACTGATTTAAATCCGCAAAGATTAATTCTTGTGGAAATTTCCGTTCAATAAGCCAAAGAGAGAGAGAGAGAGAAAGAAACGCGCCTCAAACAGTTTTGATATTTAGGGGTAAGAAGACTTTCTTTACATGCGTGTGCTAGCCAATTAGCAAAATAAAATAATTGAACAGATTTGTCTGCCCAAAAGAAAAGGATAGTTTGAATTCCACAATGGAAATGTTCTGGAAATATCATAATCTAATAGCCATCCATAAATGTGTGTCCAGCCCACTCTAGCATTTGCTGCGGCATGTTGTGTGGTTTAGTTTTTTAATTTTTTAAACTTTTGGTCGGCCTTGCTTGTTTGTTCTTTCATTTATATTTATTTTTCTCTTCTCAGTTTCAATTTTACCTGGTCTTTGAGAAATGCGATCCATTTTAATTACGTGCGTGGTTCAGCTGCAGCCTCTCCGTGCAAGACAAGATCTGATTTCAGAGCCAGTTTGACTCTGATGGGGACATTTTAAGATATAGGGAATTGAAAATTGGGAAGATGAGACCTTTTAAGGTTTCTCTTCACCTCCTTCCAATTTCTTCTACATCTTACAATTTACTCTGACGGTCAGATGGGAAAGAGTCAGTAAGAAGACACTGATGGAAGACAAACACTCCAGGTCAGAAAGCTCCTTGTGGTTTGGGTGGAAGGGTTATTTTTAGTGCTCTGGATGAATCTTGCATCAAATTTCTTTCTCCAAGGAAATAATGAGTGTTGCCGCCAAAATTATTTCGCGTTTTTCTTCTTTGGCGTCATCCTTTTTTTGTATTCTTTGTCGCTTTTTCATTGAGTTCTTTTGTTTTCACGGACATTACTGTCATCGATATTCTGTTACCTTGTTTATTTTACATAATTTTTTTTGTTGTTTGTGTCATTCATATAAGTTCTTTACAGCAAATTTTATTAATTCGGATTTATCGTCTAACTGTGATGGATCATTTTCCTCATTCTCTTTAAATCGTTTTACACCGTCTATAACCAGCAATTTGTCCCCGATCTCGTACAACGTCTGTAAGTGTCTTTTATTATCCTTCATTTTCGATTTCTTCACGTACAATTGTAGCAACTTGTAATTTGTTGTCCTATTTTAGCAACCATTTCAAATGTTCATTTCGCTTTAATACTTGGGTTTATTTCGTTTGAGCGTTGAAACAGCCTCGTGTCCAGGGTTTCTCTCCTTTGGCTTCCAAAGTGAAGGCCTGGATTCGAGAGAAGACGGTCATGTGAGTCTTACGTGACTAGCACAGCTCCATAATATTATGAAGTACTGTGAAACATCCACGCGCTGTCGGAAAGGGATATTTCGGAAGCGGGGTAGCTTGTCAAACCAATACAGAAAATGTATGTTGAGATCCAAATCTAGTTAGCCTCCTTTATATTTTTTTATAGAGCGTCGAATTTAACGCTGAGAACCTGTAAATCCGAGAAAAAAACCATGTAAATGTTCCATGAAGACTGAGCGAGTTATTGAATTTCTTACGACGTCAAAATTTACTTTGTTGCTTTTTCAGAAAATGGAAAATTCGAATGAAAGTCAAGATCAGATGTCCACCTCACCTACACCGACGGGCTCCGCTAGACGTCCTGTACCAGTAGAGAACATACACGTAGAATTCACAGTGGTAAAAAAATTAAAACCTTTCAGATTTAGATAAGCTTAACTTTTCGTAGTCATAAAAAAGGGGTCAGTTTCTGAAGAAACTGTGGTACTGCGTCGGTGGGAGAGTATAGCAGGTACTTTAGGGTTAACAACTGAGTTGAAAACGTTAATTGGTCACCGTAAAGGGTAAAAAAGCTGACGTTTCGAACGTTAGCCCTTCGTCAGAGCGATTGGCGCAGTTCTCCATGGGACACACAGACATCCCAGGAGACCTGGGAAATGCAGAACTTTTGGTATCAAATGCATATGTTCTCAGAGACCTGAGGAAAACCTTGCTAGATCGATGAGAAGCAATATTAAGCTACATTGAACGTAGTGTCTATGTGAAAAAATGCAATGCTATAAGGATGTTAAGACATGATTTTTAATAGCTGTTTGTTTGTTTTTACAAGCTTCCCAATGCTGCTGGCGCTGATCAAGCGTCAAACGAGTAAGTTGGGTATTATTTTGGTTGATATCTACTTTAAGCTTCTAACAACTAATAATTTTCCAAAGACGGTAAACACTTAAGAGAAAAGTTTAAAATAAAATTACGATAACCTCAGGTGAACTTCATTTCAAAAGAATGACATCCTCTGTTACTTATTGAATTATAGTTTAGCGGTTCAGATTAGTACATTATTTGTAATTTTCACTGGTCAAAATTTCATTGTTTTTGTTATTTGGGATTTCTCTGTATAGTAAGGTAGACATACACAGTTTTGTACTCTCATATAAAATTATTGTTACATTATAACAGCTGCAAGGTCAGTTAAGTCATTCTTTACAAACCCCACAGAAATTAAAATGAACCTGTCAGTCAATATTTTTTGCAGGTTGGAATTTTTTGGTAAAACCTTGTTTTGTAAATAATATGCAACTATTGAAAATACAAATTATACCATTTAGCAATTTACCAATTATACCATGTCTTTGTTTATATGCCATGTATGCTGAAATCAAAACATGATTTTTGGTTTACTTCAAAAATAACTGCATACTGAACCTTGCTCATTTTAGCACTTTTCGCTGTATTGAAATTTCTTCTATCCATCTGGGTGAAAAAAAATGGGATAAAAATTAAATATTTCATGAATTTAATGTGTCTGTCAGTGATTTGTTATTTAATCACAATTTTGTTCAAGAGAAATCTATTATTAATAATATGTCACACAAATTAAAAGTTTAGTTGATTTTGCTTGATGAAATAATCTGTTTTGTATATATGAAATTATGGTGCTCATCTACAATGTAATGGACAATTCCACAGCCAATTTTAAGCTAGTGTTATACCTCAATCAGTAATAAAAAAAAAAACATATATCACAGTTTTGTTCTTTGTTTTCAGCCTTGGCGATGTTGTTGCTCCTTGCACCTCTAGTGTAATTGGTGATATAAATTGTGAGGTAGACACTGAAATAAGACACCAAGGATCACAAGTTAACGGAAATCAACCTCCAGGTATTTGAAGCTTTATGATGCAGTAAGACACAGAGCCAAATAGTAAACAGGCAGGATACTGGGTTAAAAGGGTGGATTCAAGCATAATTATGTTAAGGTCTAACTAACTTACTTAATCCTCTTTGTGGATCCTTCTACATGAGGTCTCGGTTAGGGAAGGCCATTGATGTCTTTTAGTTGCCAGTCAGTCAAACTGCTCTCATGTCCAGCCTCCATTAATCATTTCCCTTTCTGCAGTTCTCCTCCAAGTTTTGGGTGATAAACATACGGGAGTCCATTACAGGCATGTACCTGTGACTCTGGGCAGGGCTGGCAGTTTCCTTTTCATTTTTCCATATTCTTATGTCACATATACCATACCTCCAGTTCAGGGCTAAAAATTGGCAGTTGCACGGTCACCAGTGGTGAGTTAAAACTGACCAGGGCTACCAAAAGTTAAGGTTTGAATGCCCGATGTGCAACTATGCTACAGAATTTTGAAAAGTTGCAATGTAAATTATGTGAAGTACAAAGTTAAAAATAGAACTCAATTTGTAATTTAATTGGACTACCTTTCTCTTCCTTTCTTTGCCTGGACTCTAAGATCATCCATATTGGGGAATTTTTAGTTCTGAAGTGGAAATTCTGAGCCGTTTTTATAGTGATTTCATGAGTGATCCACATTCACAACATATAGACGCCATTTTGATTTTGTGATTGCCTGGTGACTCTGGACTTTTGTGTTCTTTCCTTTTAATTAACGTTACATTAAAAGTCATGGGGAGTTTATTCAAGTTTTTCATTTTAAACTAGAGGAAATCGAGGGCAACTTCATTTTAAGATGGGCCACTAAGAATTCAAGGAAACTGGCCCAACTGGCCACCAAGCACTGGAGTTAATTTTTAGCCCTGCAAGTTTGAGATGTCTTTTCAGGGAGACATATATTTGGATTGGAAAAACTAATAATGAACCAATGGGCCTAATCTTCTTTTGAATAACTTTTGTTAAATTACTTCTGGCATAGCATGTAAACAATTGCATGTAGTTTTATGCTTGTAGAAAATTTGTCTACTGCATTTGAACTTAAAGGAGGTCTTTCTGTATTCATTTATATTTATTTATTTACATAAGTTAAAGAATTAAAGGGGACACATCAATTCTCTGTGACTCTGAGTTTTGCGCCTAAGCGCTCATCAGACAGAAAAGAAAAGTTCTGTTTGACGAGCACTTAGACGCGAAATTCAGAGTCACAGAGAATCGATGCATCCTCTTTAATTCTTTAACTTATGTATACTTAGCTCTGCTACCACAGCATTGAGCACTTTATGCCAGGGTAGACTTTACCCCCACATTCATTTATATTTATTTATTTATTTACTTTTTATATTTTTTGGTTGACATGAGGTATGACAATATTGGTGATTTGTTATCTCATAGTTTGCTCTGAGCCTCAACCATCAACAAATGAAGATTTTTCGTTAAAACAAGCACAAGATGAAGAAAAGGTATTGAAGATATTAATTGTGTTTGATAGTAATGTTTGAGACCAATATGATGAGGAAAAGGTATGTAAATGTGAAGGACATAGGCATGCAAACCTAAGATGAAGCTGACTTAATCATGTAGATTTGTAGCTACAAGTAGGTTATTGATTCTTTAGCTTTTTATTTTTTATAATATTAAGTGGTAAATTTACTCAATTTACCTCAAAAATTGAAATTTGTAGTAGTGTTTTAGTCAGTGGTACAGAAATACCGGTAAGCCCAATAAGACAGTTTGAGTAGATAAATGATATTGCTACAAGATGAAAAATTGACTTTGTTAAGTTGCCATTATACTGTCTGACATTGGACATTGTGTACCTTCACCTTTTCAATGGCATCACTGCTGAAGTTGACTTGAATCACTTATAGTGCAAATTCAGACCAGGCTGGTCCAAGGTTTACTACACTGATACTCAAATACAAGCCATTGACTGAAGAAGAATGTATGATGAAATTTAATTTTGACATGCAGAAATGTTACTTCATTTTTTTCTTTACTTATTTGATAAATTAATCAACCTGGAATACTTGTGTTTTTTTCATGGGCTGTTCCTTTTCTATCCCTGAGTAAGGAAATAAGATTTCCCTTACTTACTTTTTGAAGCATAATGGCAAATTATTACAATATTTCTTTGAAATACAAATCAAGTTTTACCCTTTTGATTTTATATAATTTTCATTCTTTTCATTCCAGAATTCCCACTATTATTGTGGTGTTTGCTTGGAAAATGTCCAGGTGAATGGATGCTGCCAAAGAGTAGCACATGAGGAATGTTTACATGCATCTGGTTTGAGCCTTACAAATTGCAACTGGTGAGTATAAAAACATTGATTTGCTGGTTGATTCAAAATTGCACATTTTGGCTGAAAATACAGAAGCAAAGATGTAAAACAATTGGGTGACTCAACTGTTCAAAGCTGTACCCTGCCATATCAACAATGACCAGATGTTTGTTAATCTTTTGTGGGCTTTGATTCCATTTTCATGAAATAATGTAGTCGTGTTCATGTCCATTATGACTGACATCATGGACATGTCAATCATTTTCATTAAATTATGTCTTTTCTGACACTTTGAAGTTTATCAACCGGCATTTTTACTTAAAGTTTGAGTTATCAGGGTAAATTTGAGCTAAGAGAAAGTGAAATTAAGTTTGAGTGAATGGAGTTTGAGTTAGCTGATATTAATAAAGTGACTGAAAAAATGGGGTGAAATCCGAGGGAAATCAGACTTTGTTTGAGCTAGCAGAGAGTTTGAGTTAATCGGAGTTAGTGTGGTTCTTTTGAAAAGTACTGAACAATGGACATGTGTGAGGTTGATAATTCGATCAACATTGTGGTTTAATTCATTTATCTAATTAACATAACATTTAACCTACATATATCTTTCCTTGAGATATTTAGTCCAATACTTCTTTCTTTTTCTTGTTGACTTTGTCATTTTGAGCATATCAATGTTGTACTCTTCCGTATTGACAAATTCCATACCATATGATAGCTACAACCAGAAGTTTTGCTTTTGGGTAGTGCTGGGTGAAAATTCTATTGTTGTGGAAATCTCAGCATGGCCAGAGGAGGAATGGAGTAGAAAGTCCTACTATTTTTCAAGATTTTATATTTTCTGTAATAGGTGTATTTGTCCTATGCTCATCGACTCTTAATGTATATTAACATATGATTTTCACATTGTTGTAGTTTTCATAGAAAGAGAACTGTCAATGGAATTGATTATCCAGGTATGTGGACTATTGCTGGAAATGAATCTTTTTTTTTTTCTTTTAAAGAGCCAGATAGACAGATTTTATTGGAACTTTTTCATATTACATAAATTATTTCATAAAAAAACAACACTAGCCTGCAAAAGCTTTTGAGATTTTAATGATCTACTGAATTGCAGTTCTCTGAAGTGTGTAACTAAGAAAGCCTGAAACTTTCATGAAAAAGGAATATCAATTCTCAAAACTGCAGCCTGATCAAACCAAAAAATGCAACTCAAGGTATTAGCTTCTTTATTCCAAATTGAAGTCCTTATTTGGTCTGTATTTTCAAATATGTTCAAAGATGACCAAACAGTTGTGTTTTTGATACAGTTCTTAAGTGAATTTCATTGAGTTGTCCCTTTTTGCAGCTGACTGACATTTTTCTAATAGATTTCTATCAAGTAAATTGCTCTGTTTGCAGGAATCTGTTTGTGTGACTGTTGCAGATTGAATCTATGAACTCTCTCCTTGCTGTCACCCTCAGACCCCTTGTAATTTCTCCTTACAATATTGCCTCTGGATCACATATTTAGGTCAGGAATATAAAGGAAATTATCACCAACCATAGAATCTCTTGATTGATAGACAAATTCTCCTTGTCAGCACCATGGGAGATGTATAAAGAACAGTATGGAGAATATGCATACTGATGTTAGGGTGTTGGAGAGTTTGTGATATTATTTCTTGTTTTTGTTTAACACAGCTGCTCTATCATCACCATCTAAACAACCATCAACTAATGATGATGTTTCTGACACGTGGGAAAATCACCCTCTGCAGACTTTCCCACAACATTCCAAGGTTTGAGTTTTTAAATCCTGTTTTTAAACTGTAAAAAGTGTATTGTTTATTTGCAATCAATTCAGCAGATATTTTTTTCAAAAGTGTTGAGTGACAAGGAACTATTATCATTGGCCAAATGTAAAAACAGGGTAATTAAGCGGTATCAACTGAGTTGAAAACTTAAATTGGCAACTATAAAAAGTGTTAAAGCTGACGTTTCGAATGTTAGCCCTTGGTCCTTTGCTCTGATGTAGGTCTGATGTAAGAAACATCTGCTTTAAAACTCTTTATGGTGACCAATTTAGGTTGTCAACTCTGTTAATAATACTAAATTACCCTGTTATACTTTCCCACTGGTGCAGCACTATTAATAGTTTCTTTAGTAACTTACCCCCTTTATTCAAATGTAACAGCACCATAGTTTTTTTTTTTTTTTTTTAAGAGGGAGTGGCAACTGTAATTTTTTACACTCTATAAAATTTGAATGTTATACCTTTGCATTTAATGAACAGATTGCTGGTGAAGCAATAATGAATTCAATCAATCAATTTTTTGTTCTTCCTTTTGATCATGTTTGAGTTATGTTTGTTGGTAATGTTAGGTCATTGTATCATATTTAATCATAATTCTGTGCTTACTTAGCTTATCTTTCTTTCAGGTCTTGTCACTGTGTTGTGAAATTTGTGGAAAAGAAGAGGTCTTCATGAAATCACTGTGCTGCAACAGTGAATACCATCAGGATTGCTTTAATCAGTGGAGAGAAGAGGGTCACACAAACTGCCTTTATTGCCGGTGTCCCATGCAAGAGGGTGGCAGAAGAAATGGTGGTGGAGAAGATGACAGTGGAAGCAATGGTGGAGGAAGAGGAAGAGGAGGAGGACTTGATGGTGGGAGAGTGGATGTTGATGTTGTTGGAGAAAATAATAATGGAGGAGGTGATGGCAGAGAAGGTCATGACAGGGGAGATGATGACGGTGACCCTGGTGGTGGAGGGGATGATGATGGTGGTTGTGGTGGTGGTGGTTGTAGAGGAGGTTCACCATTAACCTCTCAACCACCACCACCATCATCTTTTCTTCAGCTGTTGTTGCCGCCTCTTACTCCACTGCTTTTTCCTCCCCAACCACCATCAGCTGATGACAGGGATGAAGAGGAAGATTTTGAAAGAGGAGTTGATGATCAAGGTGGAAATGAGAATTCAGGTAACTTTTTTCCGTTTTTTTAGTCCTAAACCTACACATTGCTAGTTGTGATGACTCTTTTCAGCTTGTAGTTTGAATTGGTACCTGTGTAGTGTTGATGGGTGTGGTACTTACGTTAAAGAATGAAGCTTCCTTACTCTTTATACTCAGAGTCAATTCCCAGCAATGACTGCCTTGTAATGGGGTAGCTTCTTGTATGGGAGTAGGTGAAACGCCCCTACTAGTTAAAGGTCACCAAAATCTCGAGAAGTTTCTACATTCCAGGCTAATTGTGTGCTTTTGAAGACTTCATCAAACCCTTATCCTTCCTTATCGTTTAGCCTCAATTACGAACCCTGTTCATACACTGAGCCCATGTACCACCCTGGAATCTGGAGTTTAGTGGACCAGTTTGGATATGACGGCAGTAATCAAGACCACATTCAATTTAAACTATAATTAAAATATTAAATGTGTTTCAAAAAAGGTTGAGTAAATGTACTCTCTATTTAATCCTAGCCTTCCCTTTTTTCCTGTCAGATCATTATGAAGGAGAGGAATACTAACAGAGAACCTGGTGCTGATGTACTGAGCCACCAAGCTCTGAACATTGTTAAATTTAACATGCACACTGTTTATGTTTACTATTCCACTCTATTTGAATTCATATTTTGCAATAATTATTACAATGTTTGTTACATAAAACGTTTAATTTAAGATGCGTAATCTAGTTGTTCAGTTCAGTTTCAATCAAGCTAACCAGTTATTTGCTACAAGTACAGAGGCAGTCAAGAAGTAAGTTTTCAGTTGATTTCCAAGTTATTACAGTTAATTTTCTGTTTGTTTTGAAACACTTGTAAGGCTGAGTGCCAACATGATTTCTTTGTATTTTAGATCGAATTGTGTTATTAAATTAAATACAGTTCTTCCTTCGTATGAGCTCTTTGGTTTATGGTCCCAGTGGGAACAGTTAGTTTTGTTTTCTCCAACTAGTTTCCCAAGGGACCATTCATTAAGTGCTTTGTTGAACATTTAGACTTTTAAGGGAATTCCCTTAAACAATCACATGGCAAAAACGTGCTGTTGTATTCAGTGCACGGGCAACAACTGCGCAATCGTACCTGGTCAGGATACATTTGAATTTGATCAGGGGCACATGGATAAGAATCAACAAATCACAGTGCTCGTTTTGTTGTGTGAAAGTCTAGGTATATAACAATAATCATTGTTAGGTTTCTCCTCTCTCCCCCTCCTGATCTTGCTAGTCATTAATAAAAAAGTCACCAGGGAAAGTACTTCAGTTAACTGACTGTGATAATTACAGTATGTTCTGAAATGTCATTAATGGAATTGAAATCAGTTTATTATGGTTATAAAGGTCTATTCTATTAGTTACTGAGACACTAGTTAGGGAAATTCCTTTTTGTTTGGTGCAGCTAATCTGCACCACATAAATATAACTACCCTGAATTATTAACTTCATCAAAATCACCTTCCATGATATCATTGTGTTCTAAATGTTTTTAAACTTTGTACTCAAGTAATGAAGTCTGATGGAAGGAAAAGTTTGTTGAAATCATGCAACTTAGAGAGAATTGTCCCAGCCTGACATACTGTGATTATCAGTTCAAAGCTCTACTCCCTTCTTTGCCCAAAAATAACCTAAGTTTGTCAATTGTCTTTGTAGCTTAGAACGTGTAAGAGTTCAGTGTTACATCTTATGTAGCTACTATGTAGCACAATTACAAATTAGTAATAAAGTCTTCAGTTATTTGAAAAAAAGCTGTCCTGAAACAGTTTCAGGTGTGAATTAATTCCACTTTGAATTAATTTCGATGGATTTTGTGATTCCTTCATTGAAAGGTCAGTCACTACTACAAAAGATTCCTTTCAGAAAAATTCTCACTTGGACAATCAGAATATCAAGAGACCTTTTCTAAATTTGTAATCAATTGACACAGAATGTCTATTTCATAACATGACAAGTTTTGTGCTGAAAAAAATTATGCAATTTAGCTGGCTGCACATTCATAATTTGCATAAGTAATTCAAGTCGGGGTTGACACCTTGGTGGTGCAAGGTGTCTGCTGAACACTCTAAGACATCCAATAATCACCAAAAAAAAGTTAATAAGGCTCCTCTAGCAATGCAATGGTACAAGTCCAACAAAATTTTGAAAGTGTTTGGTGTTACCAAAATTTCTCTATTCTGCAGATTTGCCAATTTCACCTTCATAATAAAATTTTATAAGGAAGAATCCTTACAGCAGAAAGTGAAAAAGTGAAACTCAAAAGCTTTCCTTGTTTTGCTGGCTTTATTTCTTTGCAATGGAAATAGTTGGAGAACAAATATTGACACAGATGGGGTTTATTGTGCAATACCTGTCCGGTGATTTTGCATCAAGTCACCTAAAGAAGCCAATAGAATCTGCAAAAATTATTGGGTGGGTCAATTATATGATATTAAACAAATATTCCACAGGCATGCATTGGATATGAGACAAGCAGGGGCTTGCTGTGCAATAATCATCTCATATCCAAACAAGCACAAGTGGGATAATGGTTTCATCAAAACCCCAAAATATAGATATATCTTCCAACTTTATTTTGTAAGAAGAAACGGAATGTTACAATCTACAAAAACACTTCTGGTTTAACTCATCTTCATATGGGCACAAAGCACCTTAAGTAAGCAAAGCATCTCAAGTAAGCAAAGCGCCCTGAACAAGCAAACCAACTCAAGAAAGCAAAGCACCTCATTTCAAGGGAAGCACCTCAAGTAAGCAAAGTAACTGAAGTACACTAAACAATAAAGTACACCATAGTCAGAACTATATATTCAATACAATACATGTCCCCATACATGACGCACCCACCCGATGGTCAAGGGAGCGGTGTGCAAGTCTCAGGACTTGTCCTCACCAGTGGTGATGTCATTATTTTGCGACCACACTACTGACAAGGAGCCACAATGACCCTGGGCTCAAGATTGTGTCCTCACTTGTGGTTGTGCCTAAATCCTACTGGCTAGAGGTATGCTCAAGGAGCACTGGTGACATGTTTCAGAGTCGGGTGATTATTGGAAATTGTCGGCTATTCCAATATGGCGAACTATTCCAGTAACACCATTTATAATTTACCAACAGTCAAACAATGTGATTGAACCAGACATGAACATTATCATATGCTTTACATGTGAAGAATACATTGTAGAGTTTAAATTGAGGAAACCGCACTAAATTTTGTATCACTGTTTCCTTCACCCTCGTCAATCTCAAGTTTTTTGTTCAGCAGCGTTTTAGCTCAACACTGTATCTGCTAAGACCAATGCTTCCAAAGGTAAACAAAAACTGTGAATAGTATTGGCACTATAATGCCCTTGTCATAGTACCACTGATTAGAAAGATCCCCAAGATGAAATTTCTATTGTCTTGCACCTCTAGCCAGTAGGATCTCAGAAAATCTCTTAGAAAATACAATCAGCTAGAGGAACAGCCTGCATATTTAGTTGAAGTCTAGTTAACCTGAAATTCATTTAAATCATATCATTGTTAATGATTTCAAGCTTACTTCACAAACATAAGCTGACCCTCTGGCTAGTAGTATTTTCTGAGTAATCCAAGGTCCTAGCCAGATGAACGAGACTGCAAAGCATGAAAATATACCTGTGGAGTGACTCCACAGCTATATAAGACTAACATGTAGAAAGGTTTTCCATGAATTAAAAAGTAAATGAATTGAGTTAAATTCACCTTAAATGCATGCTGTACCTCTAGGCTGTAGTATTTTCTAAGCCACCTAAGATCCTACTTGCTAGAGCTACACAACCAAGGAACAAGAAGATATTCATGGAAAAAGTGATTCTATTGTAGTGTAAAACTAAATAGAATGCAAAAAAGTAAAATTCAAAACAAACTGTAATAAAAATTGGCAAGGTCGATTAAATGTGCTAGCTGTATCTCAAGTTTTTTCTGAGCCTCCTAAGATCCCACCAGCTAGAGGTACTAAACCGAATAAAAATATATAAATGCAAACGTATTCATGAAAAAAGTGATTCCAAGGAGTGTAAGACTAATTTGGAGTGCAGAAAAATATCTGTACCTCTAGCTGGTAGTATTTCCTAAGCTTCCTGAGATCCTACCGGCTAGAGGTACACTTGAGAATAGAAATTTCATCTTGGGGATCTTTCTATTCTAACACTAGAACAAGGGTATTATAACGGCGGTACGATTCATAAGTTTTGTTTACCTTTGCGAGCGTTGGTCTTAGCGGCTACAATGTTGAGCTAAAAGTCTGCTGAACAAGAAACTTAAGATCGACGAGGGTGAAGGAAACAGCCATACAAAATTTGACGAAATTTCCTTGATTTAAACTCAACAATGTATTCTTCACATGTAAAGCATCTAATAATGTTCATGTCTGGTTCAATCACGTCGCTTGACCGTTAGTAAATCGCAATTGGTGTTACTGAAATGGTCTGCTATATTGGTATAGCCGACAATTTCAGATAATCACCCGACTCGGAAACTCGTCACTAGTGCTCCTCGCGCGTACCTCTCGCTGGTAGGATTTAGGCACAACCCCGTTGTTTAAATAAAGGTTGGGAAAGAGACTACGCTTACAGCCGTTCCTCTGATAGAAAGAAAATCAGAATTGTTCGTCTACAGTTAGTCGCCTCATAAATATAATTCCACATAATTTTATTGCGAAAAGCAGGCTGAAACTGTTGTATCTCCAGTAGCCTCAAACCAAAGATGTATTGCAATCTCGTTGAAGGGAAGATACTCTAGGCAAGAGAAGACGATAATATTTGAAAGAGTGCTCCTTGATTGGTTGTTGCCTATATGGACTTTGCCCACCGTGTGCCGAATACGTGATAAAAGCTGGTTGTTTACAACGAAATGGCACGTGATGGAGCGAAGTCTAATATGGCAAAAAGGAATTTGATTGGTAGAATACAATTCATTACGTAATATGTGCGTGAGTCAGCGTGACTTTAAATAGTCTTGGAACTTCTAGAAGCTTTCTAATTCATGAGTACTTTTTGGGTTAATGTTTGTAATGACGTAGAGGATGTGTGCGTCGAAATTTCAGAGGTAAGAAAAAATCACAACTTCTCAGATTTAGCTAAGCTTTACTTTTCGTGGTCTTTTTATCCCCACAATAATCATTGTAGGTCAAGGTGATCTTAGAACTTCGACACTAGCCTCCCAAACTCTGTCCACTTACCAGGTTTTCTGTCGCCAACCACTTTCTTCTTAACTTAACCAATTCTTCTTCCTACACGAAGGTTCGATTGTTTATTATAATAATACAATTTGTACACTAAGTTTGCTTCAAACAGTTCTCCTTGGGACACACAGACGTCCCAGGAGACCTAGAAAATGCGAAAGTTTTGGTATCGAATGAATATGGTTGTAGAGATCTGAGTCAAGCCTTGTTAGATTGGTGAGAAGCAATGCTAAAATACATTTGAACGTAGTTTATATGTACAAAAAATGCAATGTTGTAAAGAGGTTTAATGGCTGTTCGTTTGTTTGTTTTTATAAGCTCTCCAATGCAGCGAACGCAATTGGGTCGAATGAAACAGTCGCTGATCAAGCGTCAAACACGTAAGTTACTTAGACAGCATGATTCTCTTGGTGGATATCTGCATCATGCTATTAACAACTACTAATTCTTCAAATATGATAAACACTTTAGAAATAGTTTCAAATAACAATAAATTCAGGAGAACTCCAATAGCCATAAATTTCACAAAATAACATCTTTTGTTACCATATTTACCCGTGTATAAGTCGACCTTTTACTGCCTAAAAATCGGTCCAAAAAAAATTCTTCAAATATGATAAACACTTTAAAAATAGTTTTAAATAACAATTAATTCAGGAGAACTCCAATTGCCATAAATTTCGCAAAGTAACATCTTTTGTTACCGTATTTACCCGTGTACAAGTCGACCTTTAACTGCCTAAAAATCGGTCCAAAAAATCGCCCTCGACTTGTACATGGGTCAAAATCTGAGCTCGGTTACCAAGTTCCCACGCAGCGAGGCACTTTGTTTATCGAGGCGTTTCAGAGTTACTTGAGCTTCTTTGGCGTTAAGCCTGTCTTCTAAACCTGCTTTGCAACTCTGCACAACGATAAAGGTTCGTTAGAAAGTAGTATGTTTGATTTTGTAAGCTAATTTCAAAAATTGTGAAGAAAATGCTGCTTACACGTGTCTCTAAAACACGCTAAAACGCTCGCGTACACGCAATAATAAACTTCACGTCCAAACTTGCTGTGATTTTTTTCATATAACCATAGTACCTGAAAGAAAATTCTAAGAAATATAAGATTAGTTTTTCAAGGAAATTCTTGCCCAGGAATAAGAAAAACCTATTTTTGGGCTCCAAAATGGGGGGTCGACTTATACACGGGTAAATACGGTACTTATTAAATTATAGTTTACTGGTTCAGATTTGTCCATTATTTATAATTTTTCACTGATCAAAATTTAATTGTAAGTTCTAGTTATTTTGGGATTTCTCTGTATTATGTAGTAAAGTAGATGAACAAAGTTTTAAACTTTTCTACTCCCCAATAAAAAAAAGATTGTTGCATTATAGCAGTTGCATGGTCAGTTAAGTCATTCTCTACAAACCCTAGTGAGGTTAAAATGAACATGTCAATCAACATTTCTGCAGGTTGGAATTTTTTGTAAAACCTTTGTCTTTAAAATATAATGCAGCCAATGAAAAGAGTCGTATCATTCAGAATGTTCTAGTCAAAATATTTATATGCTGAAAGCAAAACTTTTTTTTTTTGGTTTACTTCAAAAATAATTTATATTGTCACCCTTGCTTGTTTTAGCACTTGCAGTATTTCTTTTATCCATGTGGGTGAAATAAAAAAGAATAAGATTAAATATTATATGAGTTAAAGGTATTAGTGAATCATTGTTTAATCACATTTTTGTTCAAGATAAATCTACTATAATATGTCATGTAAATTAAAAGTTTTGTTGATTTTGCTTGACAAAATAATCTTTTTTGTTTACATCAAACTCTGGTGCTCATGAATAATGTATTTGACAAACCTACAGCAATTTTTAAGCTAGTATTACACTTCAATCAGATAGTGATGCATTAAACGAAATAGATCACGGATTGGTTGTTTGTTTTCAGCCCTGGCAATATTGTGGATTATCTTACTGCCAGTGTTATTGATGATTTAAACAATGAAGTGGACACTGAAATAAGGCAAGGACCACAAGTTGATGGAAATCAACCTTCAGGTATATGAAGCTTTACAATGTGGTGAGACTAAGAGCCAAATAGTAAACAGGCTCTATACCAGGTTAAAAAGGGTGGGCTCAAGCATATTTTAAGATCTAACTAACTTACTTAATCTTCTTTGTGCATCCCTCTACATAAGGCCTTGATTAGGGAAGGCTATTGATATCTGTCAGTTGCCAGGTGGTCAAACTGCCCTCATGTCCAGCCTCTATCCCTCATTTCCCTTTCTGCAGGTCTCCTCTAAGTTTTGAGTGACAAACATATGGGAGTCCATTATAAGCATGCACCTGTGACTCTGAGACTGGCAGTTTCTTTTTCACTTTTTCCATGTTTTTATATCACATATGCCATACCTTAAGTGTGAGATGTCAAATGGCTTTTCAGGGAGACATATATTTGGATAGGGAAAACTAACAATGAACCAAATGAGCCTAATCTTCTTTGGAATAACTTTTGTTCAATTACTTCTGGCATAACATGTAAACAATTACATCTAGTTAATAATAAAGAAAATTTTTTGACTCTATTTGAATTTAAAGGAAGTCTTCCTATATTTATCTATATCTATTTATTTATTTATCTACTTTTTAAATGTTTTGGTTAACTTAAGGTATTTCAACATTTGTGATGTTGTTATCTCATAGTTCACTCTAGGCATCAATCATCAACAGATGAAGATTTGTTGCCAAAACAAGCACAAGATGTGGAAAAGGTACTTTAAGTATTGCAAGTGTTAGATAGTAATGTCTGAGACCTATATGATGAGGAGAAATTATGTAAATGTGTAGGCCATATGCATGCAAACCTAAGATGAAACCAACTCATGCTTGTAGCTTTTTAGACAGATGTAGGCTAATGATTCTTAAGCTATTTATTTGTAATGATATTAAGTGGTAAATGATCAAATTTACTTTTGATAGAAATGTTACTTAATTTTTCTTTACTTAATCAATAACTTAATTGGCCCGAAATAGGGCTGTTGTTTTTTTGTTGAAAGACAAATCAAGTTTTACCCTTAAGATTTTATGAACTTTTCATTCTTTCATTCCAGAAGTTCCATCATTATTGTTGCATTTGTACAGAATACGTGTATGTTCTGGTGAATGGATGCCACCAAATAGCAGCACATGAAGCATGTGTAGATAAATGTGATTCGAACCATACAGTCTGGAACTGGTGAGTATAAAAACATTGATTTGCTGATTGATTCAAAATTGCAAATTTGGGCTGAAAATACAGATGCAAATATTTAAACATAGTGATTCAACTGTTCTTAAGGGAATGATTGTTCCAGAGTACAGTACTCATGTCCATGTTTATTGAACATTTGGCTTGTATACATAGAAACTTAACATACCCAACAAAACTGTGCCCTGACATATCAACAATGACCAGATCTTTATTAACCTTCCACGGGCTTCAATTCCATTTTCATAAGGTAATGTAATCATGTTCATGTCCATTATAATTGAAGTCATGGACATGCCAATCAGCTACATTAAATTGTGTATTTTCTTACACTTTGAAGTTTATCAACTGGCATTTTTAATTAAAGTTTGAGTATCAGCTGAGTATAAATTTGAGTCAAGATAAAGTAAAATCAGTTTGAGTCAATGAAGAGTTTGAGTAAACCAAGTTTGAGCTAGCTGATACTGATGAAATGACTGAAAAAATGGGGTGAAACTCAAGGGATATCAGACTTTGTTCAAGGTAGCAGAGAGTATGAGTTAACCAGAGTTAGTGTGGTTCTTTCTTCTTATATCTCTTGAGATATTTAGTCTTATAGATCTCTTTCTTTTTCTTATTGTCTTTGTCATTTTGAGCATGTCAATATTGTTCTCTTCTGTATCGACAAATTCTCAAAAAATACTATAGATACCAACAACCAGAATTATTTCTTTGTGGTAGTGCTGGGTGAAAATTCAGGGGTCATGGAAATTTCAGTTAGGAGGAGGAATGGGGTTAAAAGTCTTACAATTTTTTGTAATAGTTGTCCAACTTGACATCTCACTCATGAGCTGTCAAGATAAACACTTGAAGAGAAATTCCATATCTACGCACGCCCATGTATTATTCTCTATTTACTATATAGATACTGATGAAATACCTTGATTTTTCCTTTTACTTAAAAAATCATATCTTCATCACGCGGTGAAGATACTATTTTTATCTTTAATGTGTAAGGATATTGGTGTGTCACCATGGTTACTAACATGATTAGCCAATTACAAGAGAGATTCCCGCTCAGGCGCTCAGCCGGTTCTTTTCAAATTTCATTCACAAAATGGCTTTGAGGTGTGAAGACGGTACAGTTACCGATGACTTTCTGGATGAGCTGCCAAATTTTCACATTGGTACTTTTTCCAAGCTCTTCATAGCATTTTGGTTACAGGCATTTGTGATAGGTGACCACTTTAATTGCACTATTTTGCTGTTTTGAAAATGGTTTAAAGACTTATCTTTCATGTGGGACTTACATCAGTATCTATAAAATAAACAGAACATTATATGGCCACTTGGGGTACAAATTTTATCTTCTCATGCTGAAAGTATCTCTCACGAGTGAGTGAAGCAAACAAGTGAGAGATACTTTCAGTACTCAAAGATAAAATTTATATCCCCGTGTGGCCATGTAGAATGTAAAATCCTCTACTTAACACATGATTTTCATATCAACAGTTTTCAGAGAGACAGAACTGTCAAGTGGAATGATTATCCAGGTATGAGGACTATTCCAGGAAATAATTTTTTTTTCTTTTTTACTGAGCCATAGAGACAGATCTTATTGGAATTTTTACTTAGTATTATATTTTTTAAACAAAACAACACTAGGCTGCGAAATAGCAAAAGCTTTCCAAGATTTTTTATTATCTTCTGAATTGCTGTTCTCTGAAGTGTTTAACTAAGAAAGCCTGAAACTTTCCATTACACTGTTTATGAAAAAGGAATATCAAATCTCAAAAATGCAGCCTGATCAAACTAACAAATGCAACTTGAGGTAGCTTCTTTATTCCCCAAGAAACTGAAGTTCTAATTTGGTCCATATTTTCAAAAACCATATGTTCCAAGATGACCAAACAATTATGTTTTTGATGCAGTTTTTAAGTGAATTTCATTGAGTCGTCCCTTTTTGTAGCTGATGCTGTCATTTTCCTTGTAGATTTCTATTATGTAAATTGCTCTGTTTTCAGGAATCTGTTCATGTAACTATTGAAAATTGAATCTGCAAACTCTCAAACCCCTAATATATAATAATAATATTATTGTGACTAGCCTATAATTTCTCCTTACAATGTCACCCCTGGATCACATATTTAGGTCAGGAATATAGAGAAAATGATTATCGACTAAAGAATCTCTTAATTGATAAACAAATTCTCCTTGTCAGCACCTTGGGAGATGTATGAAGAACAGTATGGAGAATATGCATACTGATGTTAGGGAGTTGAAGAGTTTGTGATATCATTTCTTGTTTTTGTTTAACACAGCTGCTTCAACATCAGCATCTTATGGACCCTCATCTTATGATGATAACAAGGTATGATTTTTGAAATTCTGCTTTTGTTGTAAATGGTTCAGTTAACTGTAAAAAGGGTATTGTTTAATTGCAACCAGCAGATATTTTTTTCAAAAGTGTTGAGTGACAAGAAACTATTATCACTAGCTAAATGTAACAACGGGGTAATTTAGTGTTATCAACTGAGTTGACAACATAAATTGGCAACTGTTAAGAGTTTTGAAGTTGGTGTTTCAAGCATTAGCCCCTGGTCCTCTGCTCTGACAAAGGGCTGATGCTCAAAACGTCAGCTTTAAAACTCTTTAATTACAGTGGCCAATTTAGGTTATCAACTCAGTTGATGATGATAAATTACCCTGTTTTACTTTCCCACAGATGCAGCACCACAGTTTCTTTAGTAACTTACCCCTATACCCCCTTTATTTATTTGTATCAACGCTATAATTTTTTATAGAGGGTGGGCGGGGGTGAGAGGGACTGTTAAGCTTGATTTTTACACTCTTTCAAAAATTTGAACTTTGTACCTTAGTGAATATATTATTATTCAATTTTAAAATCATTTTTTGTTCTCCCTTTTGATGATGTTTAAATTTATGATGTTTGTTGGTAATGTTAGGTCATCATATCATGGTTAATCATAATTTTGTGCTTACGTAGCCTATCTTTCTTTCAGAGGTTGTCACTGGTTTGTGACCTTTGCAAGAAAGATGTGGTCATCATGAAATTACTGTGCTGCAATGGTGAATACCATGAGGATTGCCTCAATCAGTGTAAAGAACGGAATTTTAATAAATGCCTCTACTGCCGGTGTCCTATGCAAGAGGGTGGCAGAAGAAATGGTGGTGGAGAAGATTACTGGTACCTTTCAATTCAAGAAGAATTAGGTAAGTTGATGTCCTTCTTATTAAAAATTTTATTTACATGTGATGAGGCTATAAAGTCCTTGTCTGTTGGTTTGGAAGCATATCTGATGTTACAAGGCTGGAAAAATCTCGGAGAGCATGGCAGAAACTTATGCAAATACTGATTTCTTCTGACTATACTTTTTAAATTTTTCTTCTTTCTTACAGCTCAGTATGGAGATGACCTCCCTGATGGAGCTTTGTGCTAGTCTTAAATATTTCAAGACTAAAACACTTTGCAGTGAAACCACTCAGCTGCACCCTACTAATTTAATTACGCATTAGTTATTAAGTCTCATTGTACAGTCAGCCTTCACCATGTTTAGTTGTTCGTTTTCGTTTTTGTATAAATTTAGAGCTGTACTTGCATACTACCTAACTAACTGTGTATAACATGTCATATCATAAGATACCCTAAAACCTCAGGGGTGGCATCATTGCCTTGGTTGGGGGTACACGTTCCCCGTTTTTTCCATCTGGTGGTTTTCAGGGGTTTTCGTGTCCGGCTTTGGTGCATTTAGTTTGATTTAAGACTTTTGTAAAGCATATCGATTTGGTTTTAAATAAACGGTGACTTGGCTGGCCAATGCACTCAGATATCAACTCTTTGTGTGCCTGGTTGAGTAGTGGAGGCAAAATCATTACTATTAAGTGTTATTCTAAAAAGTAAATCTGTACATTGTTTATTTAATAAAGAAACTAAGATGACAGCCGAAGTTGTTATTTTCCTTCTGTCTTTCTAAAAGAGTGTTTTCCCATCGCTTTTTGAAACTTTTTGTGTCCTTAGAGGTTATAAGCACTTTATTTTAGTTATTCCAGACTTCAATTAATCGTTAACTGAGATTGATAGCCCCCCTTCACCAGAATTGTTGTATATGGGGCAGTGTAGGTTTTATTTGCTAAAGTGTGTATTTCTGGAGTTGACATCAGCATTCAGTTGAAGTGTAGATTTCAGGTGTTTTTCCAAGTGTTCTTTTGAGAATCATTGTGCATAGTTGAAGCATGCGTCTTGATAGAAGGGATCTAAATAAGAAGTCTATTTTAATGTATTATTTAACCCCTTCCCCCCTCATGTCCAGCCTCCCTCAATCATTTCCCTTTCTGCAGTTCTCCTCCAAGTTTTAAGGGAAAAACGTACAGGAGTCCATTACCGGCATGCACCTGTGACTCTGGGCAGGGCTGGCAGTTTCCTTTTCATTTTTCCACATCTTATGTCATATATACCATACCTTAAGTCTGAGATGTCAAATGGCTTTTCAGGGAGACATAAATTTGGATTGGAAAAACTAATAATGAACTAATGGGCCTAATCCTCTTTTGAATAACTTTTGTTAAATTCCTTCTGGCATAACATGTAAACAATTGCATGTAGTTGTATACTTATGTAGAAAATTTGTCTACTCCATTTGAACTTAAAGGAGGTATTTCTGTATTCATTTATATTTATTTATTTATCTACTTTTTAAATTTTTTGGTTGACATGAGGTATTATGATATTGGTGATAATTGTTATCTCGTAGTTTGCTCTGAGCGTCAACCATCAACAAATGAAGATCTGTTGTTAAAACAAGCACAAGGTGTAGAAAAGGTATTGAAGATATTAATTGTGTTTGATAGTAATGTCTGAGACAAATATGGCAAGGAAAAGGTATGTAAATGTGGAGGTCATATGCATGCAAACCTAAGATGAAGCTGACTTAATAATGTAGCTTTGTATCTACAAGTAGGCTATTGATTCTTTGGCTTTTTATTTGTAATGATATTAAGTGGTAAATTTACCTTAATTTACCTCAAAATTGAAATTTCTAGTAATGTTTTAGTCAGTGGCACAGAAATACCGGTAAGCCCAATAATGTAGTTTGAGTAGATAAATGATGTTGCTACAAGATGGTAAATTGAATTTGTTAAGTTGCCATACTGTCTGACATTGGACATTGTGTACCTTCACCTTTTCAATGGCATTGCTGCTGTAGTTGACTTGAATCTGACTTACAGTGCAAATTCAGGCTAGGCTGGTCCAAGGTTCACTACACTGATACTGAAATACAAACCATTGACTGAAGAAGAATGTATGATGAAATTTAATTTTGACAGAAATGTTACTTCATTTTTTCCTTACTTATTCAATAAATTAATTGACCTGGAATAGTTGTGTTTTTCATGGGCTGTTCCTTTTCTATCCCTGAGTATAGGGAAATAAAATTTCCCTTCATTAATTACTTATTTTTTGAAGCAAAATGGCAAATTATTACAATATTTCTTTGAAAGACAAATCAAGTTTTACCCTTATGATTTTATGTGTTTTCATTCTTTTCATTCCAGAAGTCCCACTATACTGCTGTGGTGTTTGCTTGGAAAATGTTCAGGTGAATGGATGCTGCCAAAGAGTAGCACACAAGGAATGTTTACATGCATCTGGTTTGAGCCTTACAAATTGCTACTGGTGGGTATAAAAACATTGATTTGGTAGTTGATTCAAAATTGCACATTTTGGCTGAAAATATAGAAGCAAAGATTTAAAACAATTGGGAAATTCAACTGTTCTCTAGGGAATGATTACTACAGAGAAGTGTTCATGTCCATGTTCATTGAACATTCAGCTTGTGTACATAGAACTGAACATTTAATGTACCCAACTAAACTGTACCTGCGTGCGGTCTTCAAAACAACAACAGAGACATATGAGGAACTTCTTAGGCGTGCTAAGTTACCTACGCTTCATAATAGACGCTTACAGGACATAGCAATACTAATGTATAAAGTAAAGAACGATCTAGTACCCAGCTACATATCTGAGATATTTACTCGAAAGGGTACTCGTTATAACCTTAGGAATAGTGACTTTGAAATACCACGATTTAACACTATACGCTATGGTAAACACACACTAAGGTATCAAGGACCATATATCTGGTCCAAATTAGAAAATGGTATGCGTGAACTACCAAGCCTTAGTATCTTTAAAACTAGAATCCGTAGAGTTGACCTGGTCAGCCTAGTGGAAGACAGCGGCAACTGCTGCAATCTTTGAAGCACGTAATTTTTTTTAATTATCTGCATGGTACAAGTATTTTTATGTTATCTGAACATTGTTAATATTTCTAAATATTTTTAAATTTTAATGCATAGTTTATCGGCTATATTGTTACTTATTATGATACTGTACATAGTTTTTTATTAATTTAGTAATAGTAGGTGTCCCCAATTAGCTCTATGAGCTAAATACATTGACACGGTAATAAAGATTTTATTATTATTATTATTACCCTGCCATATCAACAGTGACTAGATGTTTATTAACCTTTTGTCGGCATTAATTCCATTATCATAAATTACTGTAATCATGTTCATGTTCATTATGATTGAAGTCATAGACATGTCAATGAACTACATTAAATTGTGTCTTTTCTGACACTTTGAAGTTCATCAACGGGCATTTTACTTAAAGTTTGAGTTATCAGGGTAAATTTGAGGCAAGAGAAAGTGAAATTAATTCACTCTTATGGCACACGTGGTAACTGGACATTTCGCACAAGTCTTTTAGCACAAGTTTCAAGGGACAGATTTTATTGGAACTTTTACATATTGCATATTTCATAAAAAAAAAACAACACTATGGCCTGCAAAAACTTTTGAGATTTTAATTATCTACTGAATTGCAGTTCTCTGAAGAATTTAATAAAGAAAGCCAGTGAAACTTTCTTTCAAACTGTTCATGAAAAAGGAACATCAATTCTCAAAACTGCAGCCTGATCAAACCAACAAATGCAACGCAAGGTATTAGCTTCTTTATTTCAAACTGAAGTCCTCATTTGATTTGTATTTTCAAACACGTTCAAAGATGACCAAATAGTTATGTTTTTGATGCAGTTCATAGGTGAATTTCATTGAGTTATTCCTTTTTGTAGCTGACTGACATTTTCCTAAATAGATTTCTATCAAGTAGATTGCTCTGTTTTCAGGAATCTGTTTGTGTGACTGTTGCAGATTGAATCTATAAACTCTCTCCTCGCTGTGACCCTCAGACCCCTTGTAATTTCTCCTTACAATATCGCCCCTGGATCACAGGGGAATTAAAGGAAATTAGGAATAGGAATATATATATAGGAAAATTAGGAATATAAAGGAAATTATTACCAACCATAGAATCTCTTGATTGATAGACAAATTCTCCTTTCAGCACCTTGGGAGATGTGTAAAGAACAGAATGGAGAATATGCATACTGATGTTAGGGTGAAGAGTTTGTGATATTGATTCTTGTTTTTGTTTAACACAGCTGCTCTAACATCATCATCTAAACAACCATCAACTAATGATGATGTTTCTGACACATGGGAAAATCACCCTCTGCAGACTTTCCCACAACATTCCAAGGTTTGATTTTTTAAATCCTGTTTTTCATTGTAGATGGTGAAGTTAATTGCAAAAAGGGTATTGTTTAGTTGCAATCAATTCAGAAAAAATTTTTTCCAAAAGTGTTGAGTGACAAGGAACTATTATCATCAGCCAAATGTAACAACAGGGTAATTTAGTATTATCAACTGAGTTGACAACATAAATTGTGTCAAAATTAATAGTTTTGAAGTTGATGTTTCAAGCATTAGCCCTTGGTCCTCTGCCCTGACAAAGGGCTGACGCTTGAAACATCAGCTTTAAAACTCTTTAATTATGGTTGCCAATTTAGGTTATCAACTCAGTTGATGATGATAAATTACCCTGTTTTACTTTCCTATTCATTTGTATTAACACTATAGTTTTTTTTTAAAGGGGCGGGGGTGAGAGGGACTGTTAAGCTTGATTTTTACACTCTTTCAAAAATTTGAACTTTGTACCTTAGCATTTAATGAACAGATTGCTAGTGAAGCACTAGTGAATATATTATTATTCAATTTTAAAATCATTTTTTGTTCTCCCTTTTGATGATGTTTAAATTTATGATGTTTGTTGGTAATGTTAGGTCATCATATCATGGTTAATCATAATTTTGTGCTTACGTAGCTTATCTTTCTTTCAGAGGTTGTCACTGGTTTGTGACCTTTGCAAGAAAGATGTGGTGTTAAATAAACGGTGGTTTGGCTGGCCAATGCACTCAGATATCAACTCTTTGTGTGCCTGGTTGAGTAGTGGAGGCAAAATCATTACTATTAAGTGTTATTTTAAAAAGTAAATCTGTACATTGTTTTATTTAGTAAAGAAACTAAGATGACAGCCGAAGTTGTTATTTTCCTTCTGTCTTTCTAAAAGAGTGTTTATCCATCGCTTTTTGAAACTTTTTGTGTCCTTAGAGATTATAAGCACTTTATTTTAGTTATTCCAGACTTCAATTAATCTATAACTGAGATTGGTAGCCCCTCTTCACTAGAATTGTTGTATATGGGGCAGTGTAGGTTTTATTTGCTAAAGTGTGTATTTCTGGAGTTGACATCAGAATTCAGTTGAAGTGTAGATTTCAGGTGTTTTTCCAA